AATCGAAACGTAAGAACTTTTTCGATACTTATGATGATAGATAAATACACAACGATAGGGTTTCCAATTTTTTTCTTAAAAAATTAAACATTTTTTCATAATTTATATGACAAAAAATGATTTTTTTACGTTGGGACACTCAGATCAAATCTCAATCTCCAGCCTGGATTTGAAGTCGTTTCCTAATTTTAAATTTTCCTAAATCCTGGCACCTGTTATCAGCCTTATCACAGTCCCTTCTGTCACCTGTCCCTTCACTTTATACAAATTAAATATTTATTCAAGAAATTTCTTGTAAAAACGGAACAAACATAAAACTTCAACTCGGTAAACGAAAGCGTAGTGCAGGGTCAATATTAGTACAGAAAGACGAGAGATTAGTTTTGTGTTTTTTAAAATACTAATTAGTAATTGGTCTGGACTAATTGTAGTGAAAATTATATAGTAATTGAGTCTTAATAAAATAGTGTTTGGTTTGTTGTAATATCTGGCGTGGTTTTGGAGTAAAATGGGTTCAAAAATAGGGGTCATAGGACAAAAAAAATTGTTTAGATCGTAGTTTTTCATAATATTTTTCCTGGTTGATGTGTAATTTATTTTGAAATCGAAATATACATATTTAATACCTTAAAGTATCCTTAATAAAATACTCTTTGAATTGTTTAAATATCTTAATTAGTTTAGGAGAAAAATGGATTCAAAAATAGGGGTCACTTCACAAACAAATATTTTTTAACAAATTGTTCAGAGTTTCTTATTATTATTACCCTGGTTAGAGTGGGGTAGTTTTTGAACCAAATATATGTAAATATTTTAGCTAAAAGTGTTATGAATGAAATACTTTTTGGATTGTTTTATTGCCTATTTTAGTTTCAGAGTAAATTGGATTCAAAAATAAGGGTCACTTTACAAAAAATCATTTTTTAACAAATTGTTTATAGTTTTTTATTTTATTTGCCCTGATCATTTTGTGATACTTTTTGAACCAAATATTACTAGATATCACAGATTAAAGTGTTCTGAATGATATACTTTTTAGATTGTTTTTATATCTTGTTTAGTTCAGCAATAAAATGGTTTCAAAAATAGGGGTCACTTTACAAAAAAAATATTTTTTAATAAAATGTTTGTAGTTTTAAATTATTTTTATCATGATCATTCTGTAATACTCTTTGAACCAAATATGATTAGATATTATAGATTAAAGTATTCTGAATAAAATACGTTTTAAATTGTTTTAATATCTTGTATAGTTTAGGAGTAAAATTGTTTTAAAAATAGGGGTCACTTTGTGTACATTTATTTTTTAACACTAATAAATTTGTTTTACAAGTTTTTAACTGTTTTTTTAGAAGATTACAAATCATTTTAGACACTTTTGGGGTTAAACATTTTTGTTTGTTGTTTAATTCTAAACATTTTTTCTAAACACATCATTCATATTAATCGAATGCTTTGGAAGTTATAAAAGATATATTGAAGATATGTATTTACAAATGTATAACACGGTAGGTTGGAGATTTATTTATTGCATTGGAATTTTAGAGCATCCTGAGTTGCTCTACGGACTTTTATTGGTATATAACAATTGTTTTTGTAATTCTGAACAAAATTGTCTAAAACTACATTTGCATAGAATAAATTTCTATACTCAATCGGATATTATGTTTGTCCACAATTTTTGCAAGCATATATAAAACTTATGAACCAAAATTTAGTATCAAATTATAGCTACATGTCTTCTTAAACCACAACAAAAAATTTGAATCTCTACCAATTTTTTTAATACTCATTATTCACATCTCAACAACCACCTACACTTTTTAATCCACATACGATCTATATTTATAAACCTAACGTTTGTTCATAAATTTTTCCAAATTTGTAAAAAAATATGAACAAATTTAGTTTGCAAATTGTACCTACATATATCCTTAAATCACAACCGAAAATTAGGGTCTTTAGCTCTATTCTAAATACTTATTATTGATCCATTCTAAACATATTCCTGCACCAAAGGCGTTTCTATTAACTTCATTAATTATTCACAATCTCTTCTTCCCGAACAAAATACACACCGTTGACTTGTACAAATATTGACTCTCAAGAAGTTTAACTTCAATATTTATCTCAAACTATTTTCCGGCAGCTGGAGAACGAATTAAATTATAAAATGATAAAAAATAGGGTCACCAGAAAAATTGTAATTTAATTAGATTTATTGCTATATACTTTTTTTATTAAGAAGTTTAGATTTTTTTTTTTTTTTTTTTCAGGCCGAATGTGTGCAGGACGAGGTACAGGACTTACTGTTGTCCAGGATGGTCTATTCAGGCTCATACAGGATTTTGTCTTGTTCGTGAGTATACTTTTTTATACTTTCTAAATTTTTTTATACTTTGGAACATTTTTTTGAATTTTCATTTTAATTTTCAGTACGAAAGATATTATTATTATTTTATTTATAATAATTTGTTATACTTTGTGGTTCTCAGTATCATGCTTTCTTATGCTTTCTATACTTTTTATACTTTTTTCACTTCTTGAAATTTCTTTCAAGACTTTCGTACACTTTTTTAAATTTTTATTGCGAACTCTACTGACGAGCAAATTAAACGAGATCACAAAAAGTACAACAAATAGAAAAAGGACTCTACTGACGAGCAAACTGAAAAAAGAGTACAAAGACTAAAACCACTAAAAAGGAAACTCTACTGACGAGCAAACTGAAAAAAGAGTACAAAGACTAAAACCACTAAAAAGGAAACTCTACTGACGAGCAAACTGAAAAAGAGTACAAAGACTAAAACCACTAAAAAGGAAACTCTACTGACGAGCAAACTGAAAAAAGAGTACAAAGACTAAACCACTAAAAAGGAAACTCTACTGACGAGCAAACTGAAAAAAGAGTACAAAGACTAAAACCACTAAAAAGGAAACTCTACTGACGAGCAAACTGAAAAAGAGTACAAAGACTAAAACCACTAAAAAGGAAACTCTACTGACGAGCAAACTGAAAAAAGAGTACAAAGACTAAAACCACTAAAAAGGAAACTCTACTGACGAGCAAACTGAAAAAAGAGTACAAAGACTAAAACCACTAAAAAGGAAACTCTACTGACGAGCAAACTGAAAAAAGAGTACAAAGACTAAAACCACTAAAAAGGAAACTCTACTGACGAGCAAACTGAAAAAAGAGTACAAAGACTAAAACCACTAAAAAGGAAACTCTACTGACGAGCAAACTGAAAAAAGAGTACAAAGACTAATAAAACAAGTGAAAAGTACGAAGACTAAAAAATGGGCTCTACTGATGAGTAATATAACATTTATATTAATAAATGTGTAAGAGACCGAAACAAGTGAGAAAGGAACTTTACTGACGAGCAAACTAAGAAAAAAAAGCAATGACTAAAATCACTGAAAAGGGGACTCTACTGACGAGCAAAATACAAGTAATAGAAAATAAATTCCACAGACAATCAAACTATAAGAAGAGTAAAAGGAATAAATCAAAGAAAAAAGGGACTTTACTGACGAGCAAAATATAAAAGCAGCAAAAAAAATTTAACGGAAAAATTAAAATAACTAGTTGGTATTGGTATTTTGCCTTGAGGCAAGTTACATGAACTTCCCGAAATGTGTAAATAATCGACTTAATCAATAAAAAATGAATTAATTTATGAGTGATTAGAAGTATTTCGAGTGGATCTATTACACATAATTGCAATCGAACGAACGAACACGTTAACTCGGAGTATTTTTTAAAAGCAAATTTTCAAAGATCAATAATTTGTATAATTGAACCAGTTTCCAGGACTTTAATGGTTTATTACGTTTATTAAGACCAAGTACTCTATCATTATACCAAGTAAATCATCTAATTTTATTTTTAACAAACGTCAAAAATACTACTCATTTTCTCAAACTTTGATGAATTTTTAAAATTAAACTACTTGTCGTAAGGCAGTAATATTTCAGTAAGTTCTATAAGACCCTGATATATATCGCAAAAAAAAGTTCCATGAAAATCGGCTTAAATTTTTTTTTCAATTACAAGAAAACGGCTCGGTAGATTTTCACCTAAAACTAATCAGTATCATTCCCAACTAATATCTTTCGAACAGTTTTTGATTTTTTAAAATCGATTTGGTAGTATGAGCTTAAATGTGGACGAAAAGTTTAACACTTTTTTCTAAATTACAAAGAAACGGCTCGGCCGATCGTCGCACTGAGAAACGATAATCCTCATCGAGATACATCAAATGGTATTTAAATTTTTGAAATCGGTTCAGGCGTTTTTGAGAAAACGTCGATCAAAGGTCTAATTTTGACAAATGCCAAAAAGATCATACTAATTTTTGCAAACTTTGACGAATTTAGCTAAACGAGTTGTCGTATGGCCGTAATATTTTAGTATCATCTAGAAGACTATGGTATCTACCGACAAAAAAATAATCATAAAAATTGTCGATTTTTTTTTTAAAAAAACCTTATTACAAGAAAACGGCCCGGCCGATCTCTACCAAAAACTAATCAGCACGATTCCCATCTATCGAATGGTTTTTGAATTTTCAAAATCGATTCAGAATTGCGGACTAAAACGTGGACGAAAAATTTTTCACTTTTCTGTGATTTATAAAGAAACGGCTTGGTCGATCGTCGCACAGAACTGACAAACAATAGTTCTCGTTGAGATACATTGAATGGCTTTTAAATTTTTGAAATCGGTCCAACCTTTTTTGAGAAAACGTCGATTTAGGGCAAAAAATCTGTTCACACACACACACACATACTTTTGGTACAAATGTTGGTCTCATTCGATTCAGAATGGCTTGAAACGTCGAGAAAACATAAAATTAGCGAATCGGATTTTTTGATGAAAACATAAACTTCTCCTTCGGGAAGTTAAAAATGAGAATTCTTTTTCTTACCAGATCCTAGAACAATTTACCGATTACGTAACGAAACGAAACGCGATCCGTCCGAGCGTTTCTTTTTTTTTTTCTTATTTTCTTATTACGGCGACGTCGACATGTGCTCGTAGACGAACGGCTCGTTAATAAATAATTTAATATTCGTATCGGGGGATATTTAAAACGAGCAAACTCGTATTTCATGTCGATACCTGATTCGATATGATTTGACTTGATTTGATTTAATAAGCAGGTCGATAGTATCGAATTACCGATAATTAATAGAGAACCTGCTGCTACTACTGCCGTGCTATCGATATATATATCGATATATATATATATATATATATATATATACATGTATATACGCGTGACTCGCCTATAGAAAAACGACCTCTGGGTAAGGTAAATATTTATATCGTGGATGGAAATTCCAATGGAAAAATATCGATTGTCGTCGATATTGATATTATAATTGTTCTATGTAATCGATACGTTCTTATTTCACCACTATTTAACTTCCCGAAGGCGAAGTTTATGTTTTCATAAAAAAATCCGATTCCCTAATTTTATGTTTTCTCGACGTTTCAAGACATTCTGAATCGAATGAGACCAACATTTGGAATAAGTATGTGCGTGTGTGCGTGTGCTTGTGCGGGAACAGATTTCTTGCCGTAAATCGAGGTTTTCTCAAAAAACGGCTGGACCGATTTCGGTGTTAAAAAGTCATTCGATGTATCTCGATGAGGACTGTCGTTTCTCCGTTTTGTGCGATTAACGGCCGAGCCGTTTCTTTATAAATAGCAGAAAAGTGAAAATTTTTTTGTCCACGTTTTAGCCCGCAATTCTGAATTGATTTTGAAAATTCAAAAACCGTTTGAAAGATATTGGTTGGGAATCGTGCTGATTAGCTTTTGGTAAAGATCGGCCGGGCCGTTTTTTGTAACAAAATCGGATTTTTAACTTCCCGTAGGGTAAGTTATAGTAATCGCAAAAAAATCGAAAAAGAATATTTCTATACATCTTTACGTTTCAGAGGTTTCTGAATAGTTTGGCATACCTAAGAAAAAAATGTCATTTGGCGGTCAAAAATAAACATTAGACATATGTACATCGTATTATCGGATATTTTATAAAGATTATAATAATAAGTACAAATTTTGTGTACATTTATATGAGTTCCGTACCAAAGTTTACACGTTACACGACAAAGCGGCGCTTACGCGCTTTCGATTCCAAATCAGCTATACAGCGCGATTTCTTGAAAAAAAAAATCAAAATTTTCAAAAAAATCAAATTACAAAAGAAAATCCAAATATAAGAAAAATCAAATTTTTCAAAAATGTCAATTTTCTTCAAAAATTTCGAAATCTCTCAAAAATCTAATTTTTTCAAAGGTTTTTTTAATAATTTAGTTTCCGGTACGAGAAGTTCTAGCAAATTGCCTTAAAGGACTGTGCCATGCACCACTAGTTTGTTTTAGTTTTTGTATTCTTTTATTATTTGCTCGTCAGTAGAGTCCTTTTTTCCTCGTTTTAGTCTTCTTGCTCTTTTTGTAGTAGAAATCTCAATTTGCTCGTCAGTAGCGTCCCATTTTTGCTTATTTTACTCTTTGTACTCATTTTTTTAGTCAATAGAGTCTATTTAATACTAGTTTAATTTTTTGTTCTCATTTTTTTTAGTTTTTTCGCTAGTAGAATTTTTTTTCGTTTATGTTTTAATTTTGTTATTTTTTTATTCCTTTTGTTTGTCAGTAGAGTAATTGTTTAAGTTTTCCATGTGTTTGTCTTTGTACTTTTATTTTTAGTTTGCTCGTCAGTAGAGTCTCCTTTTTTTACCTATTTCAGTTTTCTCGTCAGTAGAGTCCTTTTTTAACTCGTTTTGGTCATTTTACTTTTTTTTAATTTGCTCGTCAGTAGAGTCTCTTTTGTTACATATTTTAGTCTGTACTGTTTTTTTAGTTTGCTCGTCAGTAGCGTCCCTATTTTACTTGTTTTTATTTGATTTTTTTAAACTTTTATTTTTAATTTGCTTGTTAATTGAATCTCTTTCTTTCTTTTTCTATTTTGCAGTAGAGTTTATTTTCAGTATGTTTAATTTTTTCTTCGGTAGAGTTTTTTGCTTTTATTATATTAGATTTCTGAAATTTCTAATTTTAGAAAAACTAAGTTCATTTCTATCTATTTAGGATCTATTTATTTACTTTCTGAGGTAAAAGTTTATGTTTTTGGCATAAAATCCGATTGGCTCATTTTACGTCTTTTCGATGTTTAGCAAACAATGTACCTGCCTTCGGGCAGACAACCATCTATCATTAATATCTACTTATATAGGGTTAATTTATGCAACTTACCTTAAAACATAATGTCACTTACACCTAGTTCTGTTTTCCTGAACTAATTCTCACCGAGATGTGAATTCTCACGCCTTCACCTCCTCATTACATTTTGTTATCTTCATCATCATCCTTTATCTTTGCCATTATCTCTGTCGTATATTTATTTACCAAAATCACTACAATTTATATCAACAAATTACCACGTTTTAGGCTAAAATTACCAAAATTTTTGATATTACCAAAATTGCTAATATTACCAAAGTTATAACCCTGTTTTTTGCTTTTTTGCAGCCGTTTGCCGAAATTGTCCGAGCGGAAAGTGCCTGAAGCCAAATATTTGCCAATGTGATGGAGGATATTTGGCGTCGTCCTGTTCGGGAAAACATTGTAAGTAGATAAAATGTACATGTATATATATATATATATATATATATATATATATATATATACTGGTGAGTTATTTTGGAGTAACACCAAGTAAAAAAACTAAAGCAGTTGTAAAAAAGCTTAATTTAACCACACGTTTCGGTCTTTGTCGAGACCGTCATTCAGTGGAACAAAAAAAATTAATTATACAAAAACATACTACACCATTACACAGTAATAAACCAAGCTATTAATAACTGGAACATTCAAAACTAATGATTTTTGACAATATTTTGTTGCATTTTAGTGTGTACAGAGTAACTGACGTCTAAATACTGAATGAAAATTCGGTTATTAAAATTCGATTTTTATTGAGTAGCAAAAAATTACTTATTTATTTGTTTAAATTATTTGTTTAAAAGGTTGTGGTATATCAGTGGTCTTAACATTGACAGAGTTTAAAATCAATAAAATACCAAATTTTTACTTTTTCAAATATAATAATTTTATTAACATTATTAGTTAGACCAACATTTGCTATTGATACAAACACACCAGAAGGTTTACCTATCGTATAATTCAATTCAAGATATTGTTGGGTCTTTTAACATTGTTAATTAGTTTTTTAGTATATAAAATAAGTTTTAGTTTAAATGTTAGTTTATTTCATGTTTTACTAACTGCATGACTTTAAGAGTTCCTTAAAACTAGACAATTCTTCTTATCAACAAGGTACAAACAAAAACTTTTGAAATCGAAAATTTTATCCAAATTTCTAAATCTGAATTTTTATTTATCAAGTCGATCATGTAACTTGCCTAAAGGCAAAATGCCACTTGCAACTAGTTAGTGAATAAAATAAGTTTTAGTCTAAATTTTACTTTGATGTCCTATTCACTGGTAACAATGATCTGTTCCATTTTTGCCCATTCTTCCTATTTCAGTGTGCGAAATATACATTTTACAAGCAAGTTTTAAATAGTTTCTCGTGTGTAAAGACTTCCCTGTATCACGACGAATATTTCAAGACCAAAATTAGCAAAATCGGTTCAGCCGTTCTCGAGTTTTATTAAACTTGAATATGAATTTTAAGGTATACAACTTTGTCTCCGCCGTTTTTACAATACGAGTTCTTTACAATAACGGCGGCAACAAAGTTGTGCGGACTTTTGGATTTATATAGTCATTGAAAATTTCAATTAACTCTGGTGGGAAAGGGACTCTCCTCACGAGCAAACTAAAAAAAAGAGTACGAAGACTAAAAGAAGTACACAAAGGACTCTACTGATGAGCAAACTAAAAAAGGAGTGCAAAGACTAAAACAACTGATAAAAGGACTCTAATGTCGAACAAACGTATAAACTTTGTACAATGACTAAAACCAGTACAAAAGGGGACTCTACTGAGGAGCAATTCAAATAAAAACCGATTACAAAGACTAAAACAAGTGAAAAGGAACTATACTGACTAGCAAACTAAAGAAGACTATAGAGACTAAAACAAGTACAAAGGGACTTTACTGTACGAGCAAATTACGAATTACAAAGACTAAAATAAGTGAAAAGGGACTATACTGACGAGCAAACTGAAAAAAAAGAGTATAATGACTAAAAGAAGTGTAAAAGGGACTCTACTGAAGAGCAAACTAATAAATGAGTACAAATACTGAAACAACTGAAAATGGACTCTACTGACTAGCAAATTAAAAAAGAACACTAATGGACACTACTGACCAGCAAACTAAAAAAAGACAAGTACAAACACTAAAAGGAGTGAAAAGGGACTCTACTAACGATCAAACTAATCAAAGAGTACAAAGACTAATACAAGTGCAAAAGCAACTCTACTGACAAGCAATTTTTAAAAAATCTGGTTACAAAGGCTAAAACAATAGGAAAAAGTGACGTTACTGACAAGTAAACTGAAAAAAAAGAGTATAAAGACTAAAAGAAGTACAAAAGGGACTCTACTGACGAGCAATTCAGAAAAACAACTGAGTACAAAGACTGAAACAAGAGAAAAAGTCACTCTATTGACGAACAAATTAAAAAACTTAGTACAAAGGCTAAAACTGGTGAAACAGGATTTTATTGACGAGCAAACTAAAAGAAGAATAAAATTACTAAAACATGTGATTACGGACTCTACTAACGAGCAAATTTAAAAAAGAACATAAGGAACACTACTGACAAGCAAAGTAACAGAAGCAGAGAAAGCATTCTACTGATAAGCAAGCAAGACAGAAAAATTTGAAAAGGGGCTCTACTGAAAAGCAAGCTAGAAAAATTAGGGTAGGAATTCTACTGACTAGAAGAATGATAAAATAGACTCTACTGTCGAAAAAACTAGAAAACGATGACATAGTACTCTATTGACGAGCAAGCTAGAAAAATTAGAGAAGGAACTCTACTGACGACCAAACTAAAAAAACAAAGTACAAACACTAAACAAGTACAAAAGAACTCTACTGACGAGCAAACTGAAGACACCGAGTACAATGACTAAAAACAAATGATGGTTCCGTACCATCAGCAACAAAGTCCGCCATTGTTCCGTCCGTCTACCGTGACCTTAATAAATAATAGTAATAAACGGATTTCCTTATTTGTCTTTTGCAGTTTACGACGGCTCTAAAAATAAATCGGCATGCCGTTTTGTTTTAATTCCTCCGACCATCCGACCATCTTATATAACCGAATTCCTTAATAAATTCTCTACAATGCGGACGAGACGAATTAAAGACACAAGGTGAATTAAAGATTCAAGAAGAGGATTCGTGCCAAGGACACGAACGAATGGATTAATTAATTAAGCGGATTAGTAGAAATATAGAACGCGATAAGGTTTTAGGTCAGGACTAGGTTATTGAAATATCCTAGGTTCACATGGAAATTGAAGACACTTATTTGAATGCGTAATTAAAAAAACACTTGCAGCCCTAAATTTTTACGAACCTCAGTTTGGTAATTTTTATACCACTTTTAGTCACCGGTTTAAGTCTTTTCCATTTATTAGTTTGCTCGTCAGTAGAGTCCCTTTTCAGTTGTTTTAGTCTTTGTACTCTTTCTTTAGATTGCTCGTCAAAATATTTTAATTCATATATTATTTATAATTTAGGTTTTATATATTAGTAAAATTTAAAAAATATTTACTAAAATTTATTAAAAAGTTTTGCATTTTTATAGTAATGTACTTGTTAGCAATATTGAATTTTAGACATTTTTTATATTTCTTTAAATACCTTAGACATTTTGCGGTGGTCACTCTATTTTATATACTTCAATGAAAACTAGATAAAATTTACTAAAATCTAGTAGATACTGTTATATACACATGTATTTTGTAATTTTGAATAATTTGTAGTTGAAATGCCAACTTTAGTAGAGTCCGTTTTCACATTTTTTAGACTTGTAACCAGTTTTTGTTTTAAATTACTCGTCTTTAGAGTTTTTCTACTTGTTCTCGCCTTTGAACAAAACTTTTTAGTTTGCTCGTCAGTAGAGTCTTTTTATCATTAGTTTTAGTCTTTGAACTCCTTTTTTATTTTGCTCGTCAGTAGAATCCTTTTTTCACTTGTTTTAGTCTTCGTACTCTGTTTTTTAGTTTGCTCGTCAGTAGAGTCCCTTTTCACTAGGATTAATTGGAATTTTATTAAACTTGAATATGAATTTTTGAATGTACAACTTTGCTGCCGCCACTTTTGTAAAGAAATCGTATTGTAAAAACGGCGGCGGCAAAGTTGTACACCTAAAAATTCATATTCAAGTTTAATTAATAATTCAAGTTTAATTATAAAGTATTTCTACCCCTATTTTAGGTTGCTCGTCATTTTTCACTTGTTTTAGTGTGTACTTAATTTTTTAGTTTGCTCGTCAGTAGAGTCCCTTTTCACTAGGATTAATTGGAATTTTATTAAACGTGTTTTATTAAATTTGAATATGAATTTTTAGGTGTACAACTTTGCTGCCGCCGTTATTGTAAAGAAATCGTTTTGTAAAAACGGCGGAGGCAAAGTTGTACACCTAAAAATTCATATTTAAGTTTAATAAAACTCGAGAACGGCTGAACCGATTTGGTTAATTCTGGTCTTGAAACTAGTGGTGTATGGCGTCGTGCCTTAAGGCAAATTGCTGGAACTTACTGTACTATAATGAAATATTTTATATTTGAGAAATATATTACATGTTTCCAAATAAATTATCATAAATACTGTAACACTGTTCAATATTTATAAGAATTATATAAACGGAAATGCTAAGTTAAAGATATTTTTTTGAAGTATATAAGTTAGCTTTAGAAATTTAGCCAGAATTAAAATTAAAATTAAAATCTAATTAATCTTAAAATTAAAATATTTGAAAAAAAAATTATTTTGAAATAATTTTTTTTTCTAAAAGCAATTTTATTTTTGCACTTTTTGCTCCGTATCTCCATAAAAGGTTCAGAAGCCTTTAAAACGTAAAAATATGCAAAAAATTTCAATTTCGATTTTCGGACGATTACAATAACTTACCCAACGGGAAGTTAATAAAGAACCTTATCTCATATTTCCAAAACCTATCTAAACTGATTTGCAAAGTAAGTATATAAGTGAGCTTCAGATAGAAATTAAAGTTCGAATCATTTGCAATATTTAAAAAATTAATTCTTTGAAAAAAATATTTTTATTCGTAGAAAGAAGTTTGTTTTCTATGTATATAGGGTTTTCTATATATATATATTATATAACATACATATATAATTACACTATTCCACATTATCAATTATAAAATCCTTGACTATTCATCCAGTTTCCGCCTTATCATCTCCGACAATAGTTATTAGTCACTAATGCAACAATAATTTACAATAACTTTTATTAAACAGTTATTAAATATAAATCACTCTAAAGTGTTGCAACATTGTAATAAATTAAATATAAATATAAATCATCACTTAGTTATTACTTAAGCAATTATATTATTACTTGTGATTGTTACGAGTCAATCGATGAAGGAGGAGTTAGACAGAGAGCTGGTGTAACTAGTCGCTAGGGGTATTTTGCTTCAAGGAAGGTGCATGCATTTTTCAAAATGTGGGAATAATTGACTAAATTAACCGAAATTGAGATGTAGATATTTAAGGTTTTTGAATTTTTGTAATCAATTCAGCAGTTTTTGAGAAAACTTTGATGAAATGTGTAATTTTAATAAACGCCAAAAAACTCTAGTAATTTTTTACATAATATTTAATTAATTTTAAACATAAAATTAGAAAATCGGATTTTTTTATGAAAACATAAACTTCTCCTTCGGGAAGTTAAAAGATTGAAAAATTTTAAATTTGTGATATAAAAAAATAATGCACTTGGTTCAGAAATTTAAAAAAAGGCGTGAATTATAATAAATCATGAAATATATTTATTTGTACGTTTCGACACCACATGTGTGCCATCATTTAGTAGTTCGAAAAAAATAGTTGCACAACAGTTAGCACAAGACCTAACAAATAATAAATTAAAAGTTAAAACAATTTTTTAAGGTTATAGTCGAAAAGCTGATGTAAAATTTGTTCATAAAATAATTGTATAACAATTTTCTGTAAAAAAATGAAGCGCTTTGGTTCACAAGTTTAAATATCATAATTAATAGTGATATCTAACAAATGAAAAATGAAATACAAAAAATATATGTAAAAAATATTTATTTGTACGTTTCGGAACAATATTTTTGTTCTTATTCATACCAAAAATTTTTTTTTTTGAACTAGCCGCACGAGACATAATAAATAAAAATAAAAACTAGCTGTAAGTGGAATTCTGTCTTAACGCAATTAAGGCATCGTGCCTTAAGGCAAATTGCTGGAACTACTTGTACCAAATATTATTTTTTTAAAAACGATTACCATTTTTGAAAAAAATTTACTTCGAAAAAATTATATTGTTGACAAACTAGGAATTTGACAAAAAATTACTTTTTTGAAAAAAAATTTTTTTGAAAGAAAAATGTTTTCTTTATTTTGACATATTTTGGAAATTTTGAACTTTTTTTCAAAGCAATCGTACTGCTTTAACTGCATAGAGACGAAATATCGAAGCGCGTAAGCGCCGCGCCGCCGTCTAACGCGTAAACATTGCTACGGAACCCATAGGAATGTAAACCAAATTTATACTTATTGTTAAAATCTCTATAAAATATCTGGTAATTTGATGTGCATATGTCTAATGATCATTTTTGACCGCCAAATGGCACATTTTTTACTTTTTCCTCCATATCTCCAAAGTCGTTAGACCTGCATTTCCAAAAATTTGAACAGCTCTTCATTTAGTCAATACAAATAAAATGTTTTTCGAATTATTCAAATCGGGCGCTCTTTTCTCTTAAAAAGTGAGTTACTGTTTTCGGCACTTTTTGCCCCGTATCTTCGGAACGGCTGGACCTACCTTCGCCGAAAACTAATCAGCACATCTTCTTATAAATACGAATCGAATGTTTTTTGAATTATTCAAATCGGCTGATCCGTGTTCCCGAAATCGTCGACGAAAATTTGTATCCGCACATACATACATACACGCACACACACACACACACACATACATTCATTTTTTCTAAGGTATGCCAAAATATTCAGAAACCTTTGAAACGTCGAGAAATGCAAAAATTTTCATTTTCGATTTTTTTGCGATTACTATAAATTACCCTACGGGAAGTTAATAAATAAAAATGAAAATTATAAAATTCTCAATTAATATTTTATTTTCTTGGGTCATAGTGAGAGAGTTGATGTAAAATTCGTTCACACAATATTACCATAGATTTTTTTTAATTTAAAAAAAATGTGAAACTAATTTGTTTAAAATATCAAACTAATTTTAAATTGTAAATAATTCTATTTTCCCATTTTTTTTCAGTAAATGGCACAAGAGACACGTCCTGCACGGCTGTTTGTATGAACGGAGGCACTTGCAAGGAAGGAAAGTGTTTGTGCAGGCCTGGTTACACAGGAGAATACTGTGCAGATCGTAAGTTATTAGTAAAAAGAAACTCTACTAACGACCAAACTAAAATACAACACAAACTTTACGCAGAAGGAATTTTTTTATGATTTTTAATTCTTTTTTTTTTTGTATTTTTTCAGCCGTCTGTAAGGAACCTTGCCTGAATGGAGGACGTTGCGTCGGTCCTGATAGATGTGCCTGTATTTATGGATTTACAGGACGAAGGTGTAATATAGGTAAATAATAATATTTTTATTAAAATTAGGCATCTTTGTAATGCTTTTAACCCAAACTTTGTTTTTGGGGTCCTCCACGTAAAATCAGTCTCATAAAAAAAGAAAAAAATGTAAACAAAAAGGGAGCAAATTCACCAGGATGCAAAATGATTGGATTAATAAAGCATCGTATAGGAGGGTGAAAATTTACGGTTGTATGTTAATTTTTTTTTTAAATTTGATAAAAATTGGTCAAACTGTTTTGGAGAAATCACCAACACATAGATTACCCTGTCGGGTTATTTTATTTTCTTGATAATTATTAATCACCAAAGATCAGTCAACACAAATCTGTAGTGCAGTAAATGCTTAGGAAAAAAGAGTGTAACCTCTAAATTTTTTTTACTGAGCTCCAATTTGCATGAATTTTTGGAAACAGGTTTATATTACCTTTAAGGCCAAAAGTGAAAGCAATTTGTACGTTACGACTCCTTAATAAAAAAGGACATTTTCGTAAGAAAACGTTTTTAATAATAAAGGACAATATTGTAAAATATTTTCTCATACATTTACCTTGCAATAAAATCATTTTCAATCCTCTAAATCGAAAAAAAAATACTTAACGCTTATTATTAACTTCCCGAAGGAGAAGTTTATGTTTTCATCAAAAAAATCGATTCGCTAATTTTATGTTTGCTCGACGTTTCAAGCCATTCTGAATCGAATGAGACCGACATTTGGAAAAAGTATGTGTGTGTGTGTGCGCGTATGTGTGTGTGAACAGATTTTTTGCCGTAAATCGACGTTTTCTCAAAAACGGTTGGACCGATTTCAAAATTTAAAAGCCATTCGATGTATTTCGACGAGTACTACATTTTTGAGTTTTGTGTGACGATCAGCCGGGCCGTTTCTTTGTAAATTGCAGAAAAGTGAAAAAAATTTCGTCCACGTTTTAGCCCGCAATTATGAATCGATTTTCAAATTCAAAAACCGTTCGAAAGATATTTGTTGGGAATCGTGCTGATTAGTTTTTGGTAGAGATCGGCCGGGCCGTTTTCTTGTAATAAAGTTTTTAAAAATAAAAATTCGACGATTTTTGTGAATATTTTTTTGACGGTAGATACCATAGTCTTCTAGATCATGCTAAAATATTACGGCCCTACGACAACTCGTTTAGATTTAGAAATTCATCAAAGTTTGCAAAAATTAGTATCGTTTTTTTGGCCTTTGTCAAAATTATACCTTTGATCGACGTTTTCTCAAAAACGCCTGAACCGATTTCAGAAATTTAGAAGCCATTTGATGTATCTCAATGAGGACTATAATTTGTCATTTACGTGAGACGATCTGCCGAGCCGTTTCTTTGTAATTTGAAAAAAAGTGTTAAACTTATCGTCCACATTTAAGCTCATACTACCGAACCGATTTTAAAAAATTAAAAACTGTTCGAAAGGTATTAGTTGGGAATGATACTGATTAGTTTTAGGTGAAAATCTACCGAGACGTTTTCTTGTAATTAACTGTTGAAAAAAGAATTTAAGCCTATTTTTATGGAATTTTTTTGGGCGATATATATCGTGGTCTTATAGAACTTACTGAAATATTACGGCTCAACGACAAGTAGTTTAATTTTAAAAATACATCAAAGTTTAAGAAAATGAGTAGTTTTTTTGACGTTGATTAAAATTAAAATTAGACGATTTACTTGGTATAACGATAAAGTACTCGGTCTTAATGAACATACTAAACCATTAAAGTCCTACAAAAAACTGGTTTAATTAAAAAAAATTATTGATTTTTGAAAACTTGCTTCTAGAAAATACTCCGAGTTAACGTGTTAGTTCATTCGTTTTCAATGATGTGTAATAAATCCATTCGGAATACTTTTGATAAATTAATTTATTTTTTATTGTTTAAGTCGATTATTTACACATATCGGGAAGTTCATGTAACTTGCCTCAAGGCTAAATACCAAACCAAACTAGTTTTTTTTTTATCATCGTTGTGACTTCCAAAAGTGATCTTGTCATCAGTAATTGTGATGGATTGCGTGAAAATAGTGTTACATTAAATTATAAAATTATACTTGGATGATAAGAGATGACAAGTTCCTTCAAGTGCTCCTGGAGGTTAAATTGTTGGAGTGAATTTCGGTGTTATTAATATTATTTTTTATATTTCCAGATTACCGTACAGGACCATGTTTTTCCACAATTCGACACAATTTATGCGGCCACCAATTAGACGGAGTCGAATGTACCAAAAATCTTTGTTGTGCTACAATAGGAAAAGCCTGGGGACATCCCTGCGAACACTGCCCTGAACAAATGGATTGCGAAAAGGGCTATTTGAAGAACGTTCAAGGGTGCATAGGTAAACATTAGGGTTTATACAAAAACCGACATTTCAGAAAACCGGTTTTCGAATTTTCATTTTACTAAAAAACCGGTTTTAACCGGTTTTCGAATTTTATATAGAAAATAAATTTTTGCTCGAATATTCTGTAATTTATCCGCAAATTTAGTGTGATTTAGAGCAGTTTTTGACTGAATTTATTTATTGTTCAATTTTATAGATAGTAAACAAAATTATTTTAATTTTAATTAGTAGAACTAAAAAATAATAGTTTATCTTGATTAAAGAACTTTGAAAATAATTATTCGTTATTCAAGCATCATTTTCACATATAAGAATGAAAATATTTTTATGATACTGAAAGGAAAAGTTTCGAATAAAAATATTAGATACATGTTGATACACACTTGTTAATATCAATTTTAGTTTTAAAAACAATTAAGCTAAACTCGGGTATTGTCTGTTCAGAACAATTTTATTAATTAGAATTAATTTTAAGGGGCACAACTAGTGTGAAATTTTCAAAAAATCGAATTTTCAATTTATTCATATTTAGATAGGTTGCCATAACATACCAACATTTTAAATGATATCTAAAGAGTATATATAAGGCTGTCATATCTCCCTTCCGCCTTTTTGTATTATAAACCAAGAGCAAACTAGCTGTAAGTGGAATTCTGTCTTAAGGCAATTAAGGCATCGTGCCTTAAGGCAATTGCTGGAACTTCCCGTACCAAAAATTAATTATTTTTTAAAAACGATAACATTTTTGAAAAAAATGTACTTTGAAAATAAGAATTTTGAGAAACTAATATATGGACAAAAATTACTTTTTTTTGAAAAAAAAATTAAAAAAAAAAAAACAATTTAATTTTTTTTTTGAAAAAAAATTTTTAATTTTTTTTTTGACAAAAAAAATTTTTTTTTAATTTTTTTTTTTTTGAAAAAAAATTTTTTCCTTATTTTGACATATGTGGAAGATCTGAACTTTTTTTTCAAGCAATCGTACTGATTTAACTGCATAGGACAAAATATAAAGCGCGTAAGCGCCGCGTCGCTGTCTAACGCATAAGCATTGGTACGGAACCCATAGGAATGTAACAAAATGTATACGTATTGTTAAAATCTCTATAAAATATCTGATATTTGATGTGCATATGTCTATGATCATTTTTGACCGCCAAAATGGCTCATTTTTTTACTTTTTCCTCCATATCTCCGAAACCGCTAGACCTACATTTATGAAAATTTTATCGATTCTTCATCTTGTCAATACAAGTGAAATGTTTTTTGAATTATTTAAATCGGACGCTCCCGTTCTCTCAAAAACTGAGTTACCGTTTTCGGCACTTTTTGCCCCGTATCTTCGGACGGCTAGACCTGCCTTTGCCAAAAACTAATCAGCACGTCTCCTTATCAATACGAATCGAATGTTTTTTGAATATTCAAATCGGTTGATCCTGTTTCCCGAAATCGTCGACGAAAAATTGTATCCGCACATACATACACACACTACATACATACACACACACATACCCACACATACACACACACATACACACACACACACACACACACACACATACATCCATTTTTTTCTAAGGTATGCCAAAATGTTCAGAACCTCTGAAACGTAAGATATATAAAAATTTTCATTTTCGATTTTTTGGCGATTACTATAACTTACCCTACGGGAAGTTAATTAAAACAAATATGTCTTTTATACTGATAATATTCTTGAAATGTTTTCTCAATGAAAGCTTTTGTTTGACTTAAGTAATATTCTTTCATGAAAAACAACTTGAAAAGGCTTAATAAAAGTTACAAATTTTTTTTGTTAAGGACTTTAATGTGAAAAACTCGAATCTGTGTTTGAATTACAATATTGTAGAGCATACGATCTTAACTGCTCATATATTCCACGTGTAATGAAATGCATATTGTTATATCAATTTAATTTTATAATTTATTAGAACTATTGCAAAATAAAAAAATTATATTTGTTCAAAACGCTATTGCGCTCGTTAAACTAATTTAATAAATGTTTAATTTTCATTTGAGATTTGTTAACCTATCTAGATTTCATTACTTTTACAATTGCGTAAATTTCATATCACAATATCATCAATCTGTTCTCTCAACTGGAAAAATAATTAATAAATGTAATATTGAAAGTAGTTTGAAGCCTCTCGATTTTTTTGTGGATTTAAAAAATCATAAATTTTATAGAAGAAAAACATATAACAAATGTCAGTAGCCTATGAGATCTTCCATATTACTTATTTGTAAAATATTGCATAAAAAGTTTTCTAACTTTTTTTTAAAATTTCTATAGAAAAATAAATTTTCATACTCATATAAACCTTTTATAGTATAGTTAATACTCATAAATAAAATATTATCAGGCGAATTCAATTGCGAAATTATATTTGCGTTTCACATTTAGTTCCTTTTTGCAAAAACAGAATATTTTGTGAATTATATCGTGTTAGATATTATGGAGAATTATATCACATTTTTTTAATTTTAACAGAATTTTCAAAATTTTTCTGGAATTGGCACAAATAGGTGGATTTATCAAATTCTCTGTGAGATGCTATAGATTTTTTAATATTTCGAACTATACAATTGATAATATTTCAAACAGTATTCAAAAATTATGGGTAAATTTGCAAACATATCTCGTTATAATGAATATATTTTCATGATCTTATACCTTATAGTTCTGAAAAATGATTTGTTATATGATATAGTTATATGATATAACTATATCATATAACAAATCATTGTTCTGAAAAATGATTTGTTATATGATATAGTTATATGATATAACTATATCATAAAACAAATCATTTTTCAGAACTATAAGGTATAAGATCATAAAAATATATTCATTATAATGAATTTGTAATAACGTGTATATAACTTTGGGCATAATATATTAGCCAAAAATTTCCACGTATTTATTTTTTAACTGTGGCTAACAATTTGTATTAGATCTGAATCAAATAATTTGTGAAAATAAATTTGTAATAATAAATAATAAATTTGTAATAATAAATAATAAATAAAATTATATATTATTGTTACAAATAATATCTGAAAAAGAGTTTTAAATGCATATAGACAATGAGTTCTGCAGCATGCGTCAATATCAAAAATTCAAATTTGAAAAGATTTTTTTTGATTAATTTAGAATTATAATGAGCTATAATTTGTTGGAAAATTGTACACAAAATGACGGTTATTTTACAAATTATTTGATTTAGTTCTAATACAAATTGTTAGCCACTATTAATAAATGAAATACTTAGTAAAATTTTTGGCTAATTTATTATGCCCAAAGTTATATCCACCTTTGTACAAATTCAGTCGTTTACATAATTGCAATTCACTTATTCAGAACCTATTTAAAATAAATAAATCTCGAATATTTGTTTAAAGTGTTGAAGATTGTTTTCATTTTATTCCTTTTTGTTCTTTTCCTTATCTTTTTTTCTTCTTTTTCTTTTACTTCTTTTTTTCTGCTCCTTTTTCTTTGCTTTCTTTTTTAATCTCTACATTCTTTTCCTTAGTTTTGCTTTCTTCTTCTTCTTTTTCTTTTTTTTCTTGGTCTTCATATGCTTCATATACAGCATCCCAATATTGCATACGGTCTATTTCTTGATATGCCAACATTTCAAATGTATCATTCATGTCGAGATATTTCTTTGTTATATTATTGTATGGTTCCCAATTAATACTTGACACATTTCCATAGGGTGGGTGACCAGTGGCAGTAGTATTAAGAGGATTTCTGAAATGTATTAAAATTATTTCTAAATTAAAAAGACTCGCATTTTTGCGCCATTCGACCGCAAAGAAAATTTTAATACTCACCCAGTTTTTGCAAAGTTAGTCCATAAAGTAACCATCTTTTTGTGAGTTTCTTCTGCTTTCTCTGGAATTGTCGCATAACCCCTCATAGTGAAATACCAATAACTCAATTCTGTTGTGCTTCGTATATTTCATTGCCTTAACAATGATTTATTTCAGCCTGTAGTTGCCTTCAGCGGAGATTATATCGAGGATATATAATACTAAATTGAAACTCAAGAAAGTCCTTTTGACTTATAAAATAATTATTAATACTAACTGAACAACTTTGAGCGAATATTGATGTAGTTGTATTTAATTGAATTTAGTAGTTAGGTATCGCTGCTGGTTCCAAGAGAGAGTGAATCCTAGATGTGCCTCTGAGGTCCCCCTCCTTCGGGTTTCTTCGGGTATCTCCGATATTCTTCGCCATTACTAGCTAGTGGTGTTTATACTGATAGAGTATTCGATATAGAAATATAGTGTTGTGCAGCGGGCACAACATTCCTCCCCTCTTAGAAAAAGATTATAGTTGTTTCTAATTTTAGACACCAATCTTACAAGATATAACTAAACTATAATCTTAAATAAAATATGGTATATGATAAAAAAAAAAACGAACAAGAATTAGAATTTGTGATAAAATGGAAAAAGCTTATATCTAGAAAAATTAACATTAAATCTAAAACTTAATCTAAGGATTTTTATTAAAAATATTCAATTTAAATATAAGATATTACAGTTAGGGATGGTAAAAATATTGAAAATATTGAGTATTAAATGAACAAATATGAGAACACTAAATGTATTTTAAATAATATAAACGCAAATTATAATAGAAATATTGGAAAAATGTGATCTTAAGAATAATAACAAACTACATATGAAAAGGTTTTTAAAAAAACGAGAGAAAAGAAAAAATTTGTTTGTAACATGATTGCATAATTGTTATCAATGATAATAAAATCCAAAATATGAAAATGAAAAAATAATGATCTTAATCTATAAAAAGTTTTAGTCTATCTATGTGAACCTTGACATGCCTCTTACCACACAGCAGAGTGTAATTTACAGCCGAGTCCTTAGATAAAATCTTAAAGGGACCAAGCCAAGGTTTGGCTAGTTTTTTGGATCTTCCTTTGGTGATCGTCTCGT